GACTTTCCTTGTTTTTCTGTCAACACTAGCCCCAGGTTCCCATAAGTTCTTTGGCAAGCAACAGAAATACCAACATGCCATAAATGCTAAACACCGTGTCTCACAGTTCACACTAGTTATTTTACCAACACTAGACTCCTGGGGTCAGAATATGGAGTACTCTGACGGTCTTGGGACCTTGGAAAAATTGGCCTAGAAAGGTCGCCACCCTGCACAACCCAAATACTTTACTCTAAAAAAGCAGGTCAGTACATCACAGAACGGTCAAAATAAACGGCGTGCTCTGACTCTGTAACAACAATATGGCTTTTCCAGATGCCTGAACACAAGGCTCAGGCAGATAAAGATTCACTATGTGCATGATAAAGCAGTATCAATATGGGACTAACTTTGTTAGGGAGGAAGGGAGGGAGGGAGGAAGGGGGTAGGGAGGGAGGGAGAGAGAGAGAGAGAGAGAGAGAGAGAGAGAGAGAGAGAGAGAGAGAGAGAGAGAGGGAGAGGGAGAGGGAGAGGGAGAGGGAGAGGGAGAGGGAGGAGACATTCGCTTTTTCCCCCCGGGAGGTGAAATGGGTAGGGATGTCTGATTCTTCGGATGTGCTCCGTACCGCATCCCCGTGAGTTTAAGTGGGTCGGGGTGTCCGATTCTTCTGATGTGCTCCGTGCTGTGTCGCTGCTGGAACAGCCACGATATCATATCTGGAAAGCCAGGCTGGAGAATCCGAGCTTGGAGCCCGTGTGTGTTGTGTCGGCCGTTACCGCGGTGTGTCGGCGCGGGCCGTGGCGAATGGACCTAGTTCCCCCCCCCCCCCCCTTCCCATGTCCGGGTACTGGGGGCCCGGGATCCGAGCCCTGGAATGTTGTTTGTCTGCGCGTGGTGGATCGGAACGCGCGCCGCCCCCGCAGCTGGGGTGGGGGAGGGCATTGCTGGGTCGCGTCCCCGGCTCAGTGGGCCGCGGCGCAGCGACCGTAGAAGCGGTTGGGGTTTTTAGGCGCCGCGACTGCGTGGTTATGTAGGATGCTCGGTGCTGGCCCAGGTGGCGCTCACGGGCTTTGGTCGCACGGCCTAATGCTCCGTCTGTTGATCCCGGGCCTCTGTAACTTCAGGCTGAATTGTTGGTTAATGCTCACTAATTCTTCGTCATGGTTGACCGCATCGTTGAAATTAGCTGCCACAAGCAGAACGGTAGTGGTGCGAGAGAGTCCCTGAGTAGAGCAAACATTCAGGAAGAGAAGAAAAATATGTTTTTTTCTGACAAGCCATGTCTTTCCCGAGTGGGAGCGAGAGGTTGTTAGGTATAGTTTGTTCGACATACTTGCTACTCACAAGGAAGTTCTCTGCTTGTTTGCCATTCTTTGACGTCTTGTGGAAGCGACGCTTGCGGAAGCGATGCCCGCCGGTTGGTTGGGCTTCACCTCGCGCCCTCACGTGACGGGCGCGGCTAGACTGGTCCAGAAAAACTACCACAACTGGTTCCTTATCCACACTGGGCCGAGCGCTGCCGACTGACGTGCTCCCCCAGCGGTGTCATGACTCATCCAGCGGTGTCATGACTCCTCCAGCGGTGTCTTGACTCATTCAGCAGTGTCTTGACTCATCCAGCAGTGTCGTGGGTCCTCCAGTGGTGTCGCGGCTCCTCCAACGGTGTCTTGACTCCTCCAGCAGTGTCGTGGCTCCTCCAGTGGTGTCGTGGCTCCTCCAACAGTGTCGTGGCTCCTCCAGCGGCTCCTCCAGCGGCGTTGTGGCTCCTCCAGCGGTGTTGCGGCTCCTTCAGCGCGCTGGGAGGAGGGGCGAGACACCCATTGCTCGCAGGTGTTGACATTCGACACGGGTCGTCGGGTCAGTTTTTTTGTTGTGAGCTCGCCGCACCTGCCGTCGCGGGCCTATGACGACTGTGCGGACGTGACTTCCGATTGGCGGCGTTCACTTGTTGATGCTCTCCGCGCAGACTGTGCACTCCGCGGACTAGCGCGCAGCATGCGCTAACAGGGGCACAGGGCACTCCCATCATACATGCCGTCCAATCTGCCTCCAGAGCCCAGGCGCCGCGTGTCCGCCCTCCGACCATCGCCATCCCGCGGGGTGTCCAGAGCCCAGGCGCCGCGTGTCCGCCCTCCGACCATCGCCATCCCGCGGGATGTCCAGAGCCCAGGCGCCGCGTGTCCGCCCTCCGACCATCGCCATCCCGCGGGATGTCCAGTGCCCAGGCGCCGCGTGTCCGCCCTCCAACCATCGCCATCCCGCGGGATGTCCTCTCCAAGGGGGCGCGCCGCGAGCCCCGCAGGCCGTGACGTGGCGCGTCATCGGCTCCTTGTGTGGTGGTCCGCCCCCTCCCCTTCCGCGCGCCACCGGCGGCTCGGCCATGCGTCTCCCCCCCCCCCCCCCCCTCCACCCCAACCACCGCCCTGACCGCAATCTTGGGTCGGCCGACGTCGACGTCAACAAATCTGACCTTGACCCTTGCACAATCGGTGTTCGCGTGCCGGGACTCCGCCCAGAGAGGTGCGAGGCAGTGCTCGGAGCGGGACGGGTCGTGTCTGACCGCGGTTTGCTGCGGGGAGGGCTTTGTCGGCCGTGCAGGCGGTGGCTGAAGGCGAATGTGTACCGCGAAGTGCTTTGCGAGCACGAGCTATTTGGACAGTCCGGGGAACTTGGAGAATGAACATTGCATGCCGTCAATTGGGTAATGCCGTCGAAGGGGCGTCTCGAGGAAAACATCTCAGAGATCCATCAACAGGGAGAACGTCTCGGCCGTATTGGTTCGCACGAACGGGTTCATTTACATTTGGGATACCGTGCTACCTCTTACCACTTCATGAAGGCATGGCTTCGGCCCGACTAGCTCCTGTCACAGACTTTTCTTCGGAATAGACCACTTGAAAGTTTCGCACATGTCCCAGTGCTTCATTCTCCTCTTCCTAGCGCCAGACATCTGGGGCTGCGTCGAGCGAAGTTGCCGGCTAACTTCGGTCCGGAGCATGCATCCACTGGGGGGGACATTCGAAGCTGACGGCTGAACTTTGGTCCGCCTGACGGGCCTTGCTTCTCAGCCGTTTGTCCGAGGTCTCGAAGCGCCGTCACCGGTGGCGTCTGCACGGAACCCCCGCGCTGTCCCGCGTCATACCGGCGAGCGGCATAAGCGGCTCGTCTCCCTCAGGATCGGTTCGTTCCACTTGTCCTCCTCAGACCATGCACGGAGCCACGCCCGGGTTCGAGCATCTGAAGGGGCGCGATGCCCCTTTATGGGGGCCTTGCCTTGCCTGCCGGCGACGCTCGGCCCTGTCCCGCCGCGGGCCTATCGCCGGCCGCCAGCTGGCGAACGGCAGCATTGCGCCGGTGCGGTGCCAACGACAACACGGTGGCCGCCGTCCTGGTCGGCCGCTCGACCAATCAGCCGTCGCCGCCTCAGGCGGCACGTGATCCCGTGCTGGGATGCCGAGTTCGATTTAGGCGTCAGGTTTTATAAGTCGGTCGAGGTCGGATGGACGTGGGTTTGCAGCGACACGTAGCACCTGTGTGTGGCGGATTTTTCGCGGACTGCGTTGTGGATTTTCTGACGTGACATGACATGACATGCGGACTCGATGACAGGGTCGGGGCGCTGCTAATCGGCGGCTGCGAACTGACCTTTCCCCTCTCGGGCGCTCTTCGGTCATCCCCGTCTGCCCTCCTTGCTCGAGCCGTCTCCCGAGACCCTGACCCCAGACGCCCGAGGGGCCGGTGCTGCGACCCAGCCAGCCCGGCCATTCACCTGCCGCTGGCACGGCCCGACCGGCCTCTGTCTTAATTTGCTCTGCCGGGGCGTGGGCGGCCTGAGCCGGGCCGTTGGCAGGCGGGCGCGGTAACTCGCCACTTAGTGACCGAAATCGCCGCCTGCCCGTGACAGGGGCCGTTTGGTCCCGGACCGCTGGGCCACCCACGGGCGCTATGTCCGCGGAACGGCTGTGAGTGGGCGCTTTTGCCGCACTTGAGTCGGCGGCTCGGGTCACCTGGAGACGCGAGTGGCGCTGTGGGAGTCGCCAAAGGCCGCCGAGAAGCGTTGCCATGGGCTGAAAGCGGCAGCTGGCATCGCTGAAGACCACATACGGTGCGTGTGCCACGTACGCAGGGCATCCCCGCCGCGTGAGCAGTAGGCCAGGCAGTAAGACTTGCCCGCCGCAATGAACGGCCGTCCGGCCGGCTGGCCTGCTGACCCAGCCGGGGCTGTCAGGCCGGTGACCTGTGGACGGCGCGAGCCATCCCCGGCCGCTGACGTCCGCCGACTCGGCGGGTCTTCCTGAGCCGATCGCACCGCCGCCGCGCGCTGGCGAGGCCTCGAGGTCGCGTGCTGGCCCGCAAGGTCACGCGGCTGTAAATTGGGCTGACGTACTTACGGGCCAGGCTTAGCGTCACCGCGCTGTCATACGACCGTGGCCTCGGCGGCCCGTCGGGGTTGCAGCATGAAGGTGGAAGTGTTTGTCACCAAGATAACGGGCCACTGAGTGAATTTCATTAGCATGTTAATTAGTCCGCCAAATACCCCCAGACTGTCTCGACGTGAGGCTCGGGATTACGTGTGGCGTGGCCGCGTACGCGCTACTGTAGAAGCGCCGTATGTGCCCCGTTTTCACTGGGTCAGTGACCGGTGCTTGGTGGGATCAATCCAGCCCATTATCCTCCCATCGTCCTGACCTGACCCCGACCGCATCGCCGTGAGCACAGCGGCGTCACCAGTCCCGCTTATCGGGACCATCTCTGGACGTGCGGCAATGGCGTGCTTCCGCGTGCACGGGCATCACCGCCGCGCACCGATCACCCATCGGCCTTATCGTCCCCATGTCCGGCGCCGATTACGGAGCATGCAGACCGAAGCAAATGGGCCGACTTGTTTGCGTTCCCGGCTAACTGTGGGCGAGCTCGTATGTGATGGGTTTTGATATTGCCGCAGCGTATAATGGCGCTGCCGGTGAGTCGGTGGTCGCTGATGTGGGCGCGTCCTGATGTTTGTTTTCTTTCTTTTCAGAAGAGCCATAGTACGATAAGCTCAGCGAACTTCAATGGTGAGTGCGCCGAAGCATTTTCTTCTTGATTTGTAACGGCTTGTGACAAACTGCGTGTTGATTGCATGTCTCTGCGCGGTTCATTTCATGTGCCTATTTCATGATATGCCGCATTTAAGCGCAATGGAAATGCGCGCTTTTCCTGGCTGGTGCTCCCCTGACAAAGTAATTAAAAGTGTAGTGTAGTGTTTTGTTTGATGCAATTTGATGCCGAAAGCAGCAGTCTTTTGTCTTGTCCTCGCAACATAGCATGGTACCCAATAAGTTGTTTCCTGGCGTAGAACCGCTGGGCTCGACCTTCAAGCACGCGGCTCTATCTGACCCCAGCGTATAATGTGCGTGCTCTACAGAATGTTTGGTGATATCGGAGTTGTACGCGTCAAACCAAAGCATGAAGGGGCCCGAGCGACGCTGCTTGTCAATGCGTACTCGTTGTCGTCGCACATTGTTCTCCTCTTCGGCACGGTGTTAGAGACAGACAACGGTTGGTGTTCTCTTGTTCGGCGCGGTGTTAGGGACAGACAGTGGTTGGTGTTCTCTTCTTTGGCGCGGTGTTAGGGACAGACAACGGTTGGCCGATGTTACGTTCCCTGTAGAAGTGTTGGAGGCAACGTCGTGCATCAGATCACCCGCGTGGTCCGGTCCTGTCCGGCCCGGTCTGGTGCAGTCAGGTCAGGTCAGGTCGGGTCAGGTTAGGCCAGGTCGAGTTGGGGTCACGTGGCTAAGCCGGAGGGCACGGTTGCCATCCGCCGGGCGATCGGGCGGTCCCGTTCACGGCATCAGGCGGTCCCGTCCCGTCCGGTGTGCCCCTGTCGGGCAGCCGCGCCGGCGCGTGTGGCCTGGCAGCGCGCTCAGGTGCCGGCCTGCCCTGACCCGGACCTTGCGTCGGCGCCGCTGACGCCGTCAGCGCCGGCCGGGGCGCAGCTGTGTGGTGGGGCGCCGGCGCCGACGCCGCCTGAGTCAGCGGTAATGGCGGGTCGTCGCGCCTCTGTCGGTGACAGCCGGTGGGGTGTGCGGTTAGCGGTGACACCGGCCGTGACCGGTGAGTCACAGCACCGGCCTCGTGCCCCGCCGCGGCGGTAGTCGGGCGGGGACCCGGACCCGGACCCGGGCGGCCCAGACTCGGGGACCCGGACCCGGACTCGGCCCGGCCGTGTGTTGGCCGTGAATCCGGCCTGCTTGGCTCACGGCGCATCGAGTTGGTTCAGGGAGCTAGACGAGCGGGAGGAAGGAAGAGGAGGAGCGAATAGCTGAGCTGGCCGGCCACCACACGTCCGTCGCGCACGCGGTCACGTGTCGGTGGTCTCTAGATGGTAGCACGCTCGTCTGTGCAAGTTAGGAGGCGCAGAAGGCACGGGAGGTCGGTGGCTTCGTCCCAGTGTCTAAACAAAAAATGGTTTCAAATGAATGTGGCCACCAAGGACTGCGTAACTCTTCTTTTTGAGGTGTGAGGCGATGCAACTTCGAAAGGAGCCGTTCAGCCCTAGGAACGTAGAACAACGGAGTTATTGTTATTATGTTGTGCAATTTTTTCTTGCAGCCTCGTTTGATGGGTGACGCAGGGGCCTAAACTACTGCTGTAATGCCGACATCATGAACGGGTGTGCCATAGGTTTGTTGTTTATGTCCAACCTTGGCAGGCATACTACCGCATGAGGAGCGAGTGACAGGACAAATGAAATCGGGAGGGGTTACTGCAGATTCCTGTGCGTTTAGCCCGAAAAAAGATGTTGGTCGGTGAGCTTAATCTGTACCCTTCATATTTTGGGGTCAATTCAAACTTTTTGTGTTCAAAAGGTTTTGGGGATGCACTGCAAACTGATTGATACTGGTGACGGCGTTGCCAGCAGTGATCATGTCAAGAAGATAATATTGTAGCCAGCTTGTCTTTATTGACCGGGAGCTTTCGGGATGATCGGTATCACTTCTTCAGCCTTGGTCAGACAATGGCTAATGTTATCGATCAGAGTCTCATCACTTTCCGACCGAAGCTAAAAAGGGTAGCGCTTGTTCCGAAAGCTCTCGTTCAGTAAAAACAAGTGGGTTGAAATAGTATAATTTTATGTTCACTCTGTCCAAACTCAATGATATTTTGATACAACAGTGGTCACTAAATGGCTCAGATCAGATTCTATTGCAACGTCAAAAAACGTAAGATTTTGAACAATTGAATAAAATATAGCATGATTAAATAAAGATGAGAAATGAAGAACGGCGAACGGAATATATATATATATATATATATATATATATATATATATATATATCAAAATATAGACAACACAATTTTCGTCGAGGACTGATTGTGGAAGGTGAAGGTGTGTATAGATCCAGGTGACTTTTGCTACAAATTGAGTGTCATTGCAATGTTGCACGCAGGCCCGGTGGTATGATTTGCCTCGCTCGTCTGATGTCCCGCCAGGGTAACTGATTACGGTTAGTTCGGACATGCTTTGACTTTTCTCGCTGGCCGGGCTTGTGAGCCGATCTCATTCACTATTTAATAACGGGCACTTTTGCGATGGATTCCGCCGGCTCGAATGTGTTTGCCAGAAGGACGACAGAGGAATTCCAGGTATCAGGCTGCATTGTTACAATAGCCTGGCTTCCTGTGAAGTCTCAATAAATAACGGCTCTGGCTAATCCAACATAACCATGAAGGATCGGCTCATTCTGAAGCTTAATACCAGTTGAGCCAGTCAAGTCGTATACCATGCGGTGTGGTTTTGCAACACAGTAAGCTTTGCTGCGACCATAAATAACATGTCAGAGATAACATTTTCAAGCCAACATCTGTCCGCTTACGAATAAACATGTCGCCGCTGAGAACAATGCTGTTTGTCTATATTGCATTTAAATGTTGGCAGGCGTTTTCTGAGGAAAGTTGAAGGCGGCGTGCCTGATCCCGTAACAATGCATGTTGAGGTTAGCTCACTGGTCTGCACGCCGGTGGCTCTCGTGGCATAGCTCCGTTTGTTCTGTAGTTGGTATATTTATGTGCCAGCATTTCGAGGCTGCACTGTGGATAGGAGGCATTTTGTCAGCGTGATTGTAGGTAGCCTCATTGCGCAACAAGAAGCAACAGGCTGATCGTAACGAAGCCTTGGGCGCCACATCACCCAGTTGCCTCAGCGTCCGAAAAGCCTACAGCACCAGTGATAGTCAGCCGTTGTACCCCATGTGAGGGATCTCGGCACGGAGCGGGCGCCATTCGGCGGCGCTGGCGGCGCGCGGCAGCCGGGCCCCGCGTCGCCGCCGGCTCCGAGCCTGTTTACGCCGCCGCGGCGCCCACCTGCCGGCGGCCCGCCAGCCCGGCGGCCCGTCCGCCAGCGTCTTGACTCGCGGCACGGCGCCGTGACAAACAGGAGCGCCGCGGCCGGCCGGCCGGCGTGCCGCGCCGGCACGCGCTCCGCTCCGGCTGCGTACGTGCGGCGGTGGCCCGGGCCGCGCCGCGCCGGCCTGCGCCGCCGCCGCCGGTGGCAGTGGTGCGCGCCGGGCCAGGTCAGGTGACCGGCCGACAGGCGGCCGACAGGCGGCCGGCACCTCACCGGACCCGGCTCGCGCCGCGCCGGCCTGCGCCGCCGCCGCCGCCGGTGGCAGTGGAGCGCGCCGGGCCAGGTCAGGTGACCGGCCGACAGGCGGCCGGCACCTCAGGTCTGCCCAAGGTCACGGTCCGTCGAGTGTGCGTTTGGCATGGGTTAGTGTGGAATAGGGTGGAAAGCGCTCCTCGGACATAACAGAGCGCGTTTGGATGGTAGGATGGTGGTGTGGTGGTGAGCCACCCCGTGCTGTTTTTCAGTTACAAATGGCTCAAAACATTCCAAGACAGGAGTGCACCACGTAACTGACTTTGACCAACTCTGGATGTCCTCGTGGGCGGCCTACAGTAGCTGGTGGTTCGAAGGCTATCCACCTCGAATCATGTGAATATGCAACTTTGAATGTTCCGTGATCCTTTGACGTACGAAATGATCGGTCCAACGCACCGTCAGTTGCACATTAAATGATTGTTTCATTCAATTTTACTTATTTGAGATAAACTTTTGAATCATGTGTGGTGTCCAAAAATGTGATCCTGGGGATTTCTTGCGCATGCGTACCAGCAAACCCTCGTTAAGTACTGCAGTCTAGACCTGCAAAACTAAACGCTTGGACAATTACCGGAATACCGCACAATGTAAGTTTCGCCTCTCCCCCCCCCCCCCGCATCGAGCCGTCGCGGCACCATGATCGGCCATCTCCCAGCGGCGTGCGGTTCGCGGCTGGCGCCGTGCTGGGCTTCTCGTCGCGCCTGCGGAAGGCACCTTGAGTCGTGAGGAGGCCATGGGCATGGTGCTGGCTCGTGATCGATGGTCTCGCAGCCGCGCCACTTCGGTGGGCTGCGGGGACGATAATCGCCGTTATTGATCCGGCCAGCCTAATGAGAATTCGCACCGTCGTCCTGATTAATGAGAAGCGGCTCCTGAGAGACGAACCCGATCAGCGATCGGCACCAGCCGGGCCCGCCCCCGACAGCACCCGCAGGAGATTGATTTGGGCTGCGAAGCGTATTCTGCCCGGCCGTCATGTCGGCGGACGGGCCCGACTAATGACACCGGCCGTGCTCGGTCGGCGCCGCACGTGGTCGCCGGCGATGGTGGAGGCGGTCCCGCGCGCCCGGTGCCGGCCGCGGTGCGGGACGCGCGGCGGCGTCATCCGGCCGGCGGGCGTGTCACGTGCGGCCGTGTGGCGGCGCCACCGTCGCGCGGCGTTGCGCCAGCTGAAGGCCGGCCCGACGGCGCCCGGCACTGGACCCGTGCAGGCACCGGTGGCCGCGGACGGGGCTTGTGTGCAGCTTGCCCGGTGCCGCAGAGTATGGACCGTGGCTTTGTGAGGGGCTGATTTGAGGATGGTTCCCGTCTTTTTGCGGAAACGGTGCTTTGACGTGGGGGACTGAAATGGAAGAGGCGCTTCCTCAAAGCGTCATGACACGCGTTGTCGGCTGCCGTCGGCCCCGGAAAAGCCGGTGTGCCCAGGCCACGTGGCGTAGTTCTGGGGCATTGGTGGCTGCAAGGCCAGTGGTACCTCCATCGTCAATGGCGTGGGCTTGACAGATCCCTTCCGGCATTTAGAAAAGGAGGTTAACTCAGAAGCGTAATGCAACAGTATGTGTGTTATCAGGCACTGTCAGTTCATGGTTCGGTTGGAAGGGGGGGGGGGGGGGGTAGCCTGAGACCAGACCTCAACAGTATGTGTGTTATCAGGCACTGTCAGTTCATGGTTCGGGTGGGAGGGGGGAGCCTGAGACCAGACCTCAACAGTATGTGTGTTATCAGGCACCGTCAGTTCATGGTTCGGTTGGGGGGGGGGGGGGGGGGGTAGGGTAGCCTGAGACCAGACCTCAACAGTATGTGTGTTATCAGGCACTGTCAGTTCATGGTTCGGGTGGGAGGGGGGGAGGGGGGCCTGAGACCAGACCTCAACAGTATGTGTGTTATCAGGCACCGTCAGTTCATGGTTCGGGTGGGAGGGGGGGGAAGGGGGGCCTGAGACCAGACATCAACAGTATGTGTGTTATCAGGCACTGTCAGTTCATGGTTCGGGTGGGAGGGGGGCCTGAGACCAGACCTCAACAGTATGTGTGTTATCAGGCACCGTCAGTTCATGGTTCGGTTGGGAGGGGGGGGGGGGGGAGCCTGAGACCAGACCTCAACAGTATGTGTTATCAGGCACCATCAGTACACGTTTCGGTTGGGAGGGGCGAGGGGGTAGCCTGAGATCAGACCTGTTAGGTTTGGCACAACCATGCTGTCCTGAACGCCTTGGCAGCATTCTCTGGATCGGGGCTGTTGTTGCTATGCTCTCTTGACTGGCAGGGATCATTTTATGCCGGGGATTACGAAGACAATCAAATGGCCATCTACCGCAGAACATAGCTGCAGACATTGTTATTGATGGCGTTATTGGATTTAAGGCAGACTGATAATGATTGTGTTCGGACATCGTGCGATCTGTCTGAGCACACGTTTGTGCTAAGGCCGATAATCCCACCTTAATTGACTAATTCACAACCGTCGATTGGACAGCTGCCAAGTCGTGACGGTCACTGAGGCTGGACGTCTTTACTTCCCCCCCCCCCCTCCCTCCCTGCAACATGTCCAGGATGGAGGCAGCTTGGACCACGTTCGCGTGCCACACGCGCGCGCCCCGGCTGACATCCATTGATGCTCGGCGTCCAGTCAGCATCAACAAATCTGTCCCGAAGCCCCACCGTTGGCGGTGTTCAGAACACGCACGACGCATCAGTAGTCAGTACCCCTGTTTTTTACGTGTTGACGTCTAGTCGGCTACAACGCCGCCCTCTTATAACACCGGCTGGAACTTGACTGACTCGCAAGTGGCGAGAGCCGCGGGCGCGGCCGTCACTCGCCGCTGACGTGTGCCCGCCGTTTTTCAGCTAACCTATACCGTCGCCATGACGACCCTTTCCGACGCCGGTCGCTCAGCGGCGGCGACGCCATCTCCGACCACAACCGGATGGCCATCCTGTTCAGGGACTCGCGAGGGGTGAGTCTCCGACCGGGGCGAAGCGGAGCACGCCGCGTTTCGGCACGCCGCCGTGGCGTTGTGCGTGGCTTGAAGTGCGGTGCGATTCTTGTGTGTTGGCGAAATGCTGTGTTTGTAATCATGGCACTGTCACTGTCTGTGAGCATCTTTAATGCTGTAGATATTGTGAAAGTGCTTCGGGCCCCGTGCGTACGTCTTAGCTCAACGTGCTAAACGTTTAACGTATGGCATGCTGGACGTGTAGGCGTCTTGGCATCATATACTACGTGTTTAGTCCGTAACATCTAGGTCACATGCCGCCTGAGATGTTCGTGGGGTAGTGGGGTCACATCGTTTGTTTGTGCGCAGTTTGCGCCGGCGGATCGTCAGGTGCCGTTGGGCGTTGACTGGAGCCAGCTGTGGGTGACGCGGTGCGGGTGTGTTCTTGTGTCTGCTGGCCACTGGCCCGCTGGAGCTGGCGCTGATGTCCGCCTGCACATGTTTACACGTGTCCTACGCCACGCGCAGTGGGCGCGTGGACAAATCGTTATGTGATAACCTTCTTCGCCGCTGGCTGTGGTTCGGTGCTAGTTCAACACTTCCTGAATCCACGATCGAGGTACAACTGTTAGCAGAGATGAAAGGTTTTTGTTGTAAACCAAAATTGTCCCGGAAAGGACCGGTCGTGGAGACTATCTGAAGACCGAAGTTAGCATGTGATTGTCCGTAAATTATGCCCCGTCTGATCGCTGTCAGAACTGGTACGTGAACTCACTGAAGATACAACCTGCATGCCACTTTGATGCATTTTAATGTTTTAAATTCCGCGCCGCAAATAAAAGTCATTTGCCTTTTGTAACGCAACGTGATAGCAATGCATCACCCTGTTTTTGTGAACGCTTAGCCGTAGACGGCCAGTAATCCGATAAGGCTCTTAATTGGCATGTCTTTCGCGTGTTTATCATTCGCGCCGCACGGTTTCAAATGTTTACCTGTGCGAAATTGGCGTGCGGCAGATGCTTGACTGGAGCAAAAACCACCGTCTCTGTATTGCTAGCAAGTTGGCCCGAGACGAGAAGCGACGGACGCCAATTAGCTATCAGAGAATGCAAAACCTGTCGGAGCTTTGTCCGAGCCTAACAGGACTGCGGCTGTTCGCAAATGAAAGGCCACCTCACCGTTCAGCTCGCCCCTCCACCAACGCCACTGCCGCGTCTGCATGAGTGTTGCAATTTGCGGATCCATGCAAACTGGTTTGCATCCGCTGGAAAAGGTACGCTGGTCACGGACGAACGAGGATTTTGCGGGATCACGGAAAATTTTGCACTGTGTTTCTGGGAACCGGAGCGTCAATGTGTCAGTCGTAATAGACTTACCCGGTTAGCTGGCGTAATTTTTCCGAGTACAAACGGCCGGTGACATGCTTTAGAAGATAATGTCGTGTAATTGATGCCTTATGCACAGTTGCGTCGGGTTTTGTGCAATGCACCATGAAGTTGAACAGACTCGTGGCATCGCTCGGCCGCTGCGGATTGCAATGTAGTTTCAGGATGTCATTGTGCACGTGAACGCAAGTAAGCATTCATTCTGGCCGGGCACACAGTTGGCGCTGCTGCTTTTGTGCTGATGCGGTGCTGGGCGATTCAGTCACGCGGTTTAATATCACGTATGGTTTAATGGGCTGCGTAATGGTCTCCTTACAGCAAATGCTGACTATGATTTCCGTTAAAAAACCACGGTGTGTACAGACCGGCAGTTATCTGGCCTGCGCAAAATGAGCTGCAATAAGTATGTATAATAACTTATTGCAGCTTATATTGTAGAATAATAAGTTATATCATATGTATATATATGCATATATATAAATATATATATATATATATATATATATATATATTCCCTTCCGTGCGCGCTGCCAGCGCTGGCCTTCGAGCGCACGTGCGGGGATGGCGCGGTGGCCGTGCCGGTGGTGAGCGCCTGATGGCCAGCTCCTCGGCGCGGCGCCCGATATGTACCCGGTTTACATGGGCAGCCGAGGATAATTCGAATTAAGATCGGAACGGATCATGCGACGTTTACCCGGTTTACATGGGCAGCCGAGGATAATTCGAATTAAGATCGGAACGGATCATGCGAGGGCGAGGGGCGTTTACATGGGCGAAACCGGCTTTACGTCGGATTAACGGTCGATAGTTCGATCCCGCTTAGTTCGAACCAAGGAACGGGTTATGGGCGAAAACTGCGCTTTTGAGGCGAACTGAACAAAACGAGAAGAAAAAAGCCGGTACTCTGCGTATGGATGGCGAATGTCACGAGCCATGGTGGGCGCGAGACAGCTTTGAGGGCGAGGAGGAAGATGGACTTCGTTGGAAAAATGATCTGTGCGGGACTCATAGGCTTTGTAGCTACAGCACAAGCCATAGCACTTGAAACACAGGAGTTGCGCAGTCAGCACTGCCAAATCTGTCACATAAGCAGTGTTATATGCAAATTTTTACTAGCAGGAAACTGGCTAGCACGAAATCAGTATTTTCTTGTATTGGCCAATGACACTCACAAACTTACCACACTCATCAGTATGCCACCCAGCATCATGTCATCTACTTTGCGCAGCCCAAGAAACACATTACCTAATCCCGCACCAATGCATTTATGAGCAGCCTGCAACAGTGAGCTAAGCTATGGAAATGACTCATGAATGCTACATAGTTAGTGGCAAAAATTGTGTAACTATGTTGTCTTTCCCCATCCAATGCATCATCAGTACCTGAGGGCAGCATTGCCATTTAGACTTGGCATGGACTGGCAAGTCAGAATGCAGCTATTTGCTTTCTTGACATACTAGGGTTGAAATACTGCTTTGATATCCTTGCAGTCAACAGCATTGGCTGATATGGACTGATGGCTATGTGGCACAAACAGCCGTGTTCGCACAGTCCAAAGATCATAACGTGAACCAGCCCCAGAGCTGTCATGACAAAAGCAATCTGGGCTCAAAATTCATAACAAATGATTAATTATAGCAACAGCTCAATTATCCACCTCATGGTTTGCAAAGATATGTGTCACAAAAAAGCACCAAGGCAACATATTTACTCACCAGTACAAAAACAGGTAATGATGTGCACTGCAGATGTTCTCTGCACATCATGTGGCATTAGGTTAGGTTTACTTAGTTTATGCACTGTTTTCTTCCACATGAAATGCACAAACCTGGATTTGACAGAGTACTGATGACAGCTAATTTCATCCAGTGCTCACATTTGCTTTCTTGACATTTTGGAACCATCACTGGGCAATTTTGGTCCCATCATTAAAAATAGTCCACATTCTGCACTGACTGCAATGATCTATTGCCTATATTTGTTGATCCTTTGCATCATGCAGGAATTATTGAGTTACCTATCTCACACACATTAAACTGACAAGCAACAAACAGCCTAATTGCATCAAAAACAAATATTCCAGCCCCCGCTTCCTTGCCAGTTGGTCTACCAGTGTGACGTAACTTCATATTTCCTTGACAAGCCAGTCACCAATATCCAACACATCCCTCCTGCCAATAGGTGGTCAACCAAATGTTCAAGTCACAGGAGGAATGTCTGCAAAATCAATCCTGGGGCATTTATGTATTCACCTAATGAAAGAAACTATTGGTACTCCCTGCAAGAATTGTTGAAGAGTTGAATTACCTACCTCGTGGCCTGCAGACACCCATCACAAAAAGCACCAAGGTGACATATTTAATCACCAGCACAAAAACAGGTGATGATATGCAACACAGACGTGTTCTCTATGCAGCATGTGCCGTCGTGTTAGGTGTTAGTTTATGCACTGTTTTCCTGCACATGGAACACACAAACTTGGATTTAGCAGAGTAATGATGACAACTATTTTCATCCAGTGTTCACATTTGCTTTCTTGCTGTTTTGACCCCATCATTGGGCGATTTCAGTCCTACCATTAAAAAAGTTCACATTCCGAGCTGAGTGCAATGATCTATATTTGTTCATCCGTCATATCATGCAGCAATTTTTAAGCTACCTTTCTCACACAAATTAAACTGACAAGCAACCAGCATCCTAATTTAAGGAACATCTGCAAAAACACTCCTGGGGACTTAAGGTATTAACTTAATGAATGAAACTTGGATGCATTCTCTGCAAGAATTTTGAGCAATCCAAAAATTAAAATGAGAACAAGTCAAAGCTATATAAAATAACCATATTACCTCCATCTGGCTTTTGGAAGCATGGCATTTCTGTGCTGCTAGCCACTCAAGGCCCTCAATAATAAGAGTAGTTTTAGCAGCATGATGTCAATTTCACCTTCCTTCTCTTTTCCCTTACCATCTTGGACTTGAACCGTCTCGAGCAATAGCTAAAAACCCGTGGAAAAGCGGTAACACCGCACAAAGCTGAAATGGCTATGAACAGAACTGCGTGCGCCAGGCATTTTTCTTTTTTTTTGTTTAGACAGCTGACGGCCGATAATTCGGACGAAATCCCTTCCTGAACGGATGATCCTCTCACGGGAAGGGATTTCCTCCGGCGCACGATTCGAATCAGCGGAACGGCGCGTGAGTGTATACATGGGCCGGATAGTTCGGATCGAGGACGGGTCCCGGCTTAATTCGAATCACAGCTGCCCATGTAAACAGGGTAGTTAACCCTCTCGGCGAGGGGCGTTTACATGGGCGAAACCGGCTTTACGTCGGATTAACGGTCGATAGTTCGATCCCGCTTAGTTCGAACCAAGGAACGGGTTATGGGCGAAAACTGCGCTTTTGAGGCGAACTGAACAAAACAAGAAAAAAGCCGGTACTCTGCGTATGGATGGCGAATGTCACGAGCCATGGTGGGCGCGAGACAGCTTTGAGGGCGAGGAGGAAGATGGACTTCGTTGGAAAAATGATCTGTGCGGGACGCATAGGCTTTGTAGCTACAGCACAAGCCATAGCACTTGAAACACAGGAGTTGCGCAGTCAGCACTGCCAAATCTTTCACATAAGCAGTGTTATATGCAAATTTTTACTAGCAGGAAACTGGCTAGCACGAAATCAGTATTTTCTTGTATTGGCCAATGACACTCACAAACTTACCACACTCATCAGTATGCCACCCAGCATCATGTCATCTACTTTGCGCAGCCCAAGAAACACATTACCTAATCCCGCACCAATGCATTTATGAGCAGCCTGCAACAGTGAGCTAAGCTACAGAAATGACTCATGAATGCTACATAGTTAGTGGCAAAAATTGTGTAACTATGTTGTCTTTCCCCATCCAATGCATCATCAGTACCTGAGGGCAGCATTGCCATTTAGACTTGGCATGGACTGGCAAGTCAGAATGCAGCTAATTGCTTTCTTGACATACTAGGGTTGAAATACTGCTTTGATATCCTTGCAGTCAACAGCATTGGCTGATATGGACTGATGGCTAGGTGGCACAAACAGCCGTGTTCGCACAGTCCAAAGATCATAACGTGAACCAGCCCCAGAGCTGTCATGACAAAAGCAATCTGGGCTCAAAATTCATAACAAATGATTAATTATAGCAACAGCTCAATTATCCACCTCATGGTTTGCAAAGATATGTGTCACAAAAAAGCACCAAGGCAACATATTTACTCACCAGTACAAAAACAGGTAATGATGTGCACTGCAGATGTTCTCTGCACATCATGTGGCATTAGGTTAGGTTTACTTAGTTTATGCACTGTTTTCTTCCACATGAAATGCACAAACCTGGATTTGACAGAGTACTGATGACAGCTAATTTCATCCAGTGCTCACATTTGCTTTCTTGACATTTTGGAACCATCACTGGGCAATTTTGGTCCCATCATTAAAAAAAATTCACATTCTGCACTGACTGCAATGATCTATTGCCTATATTTGTTGACCCTTTGCATCATGCAGGAATTATTGAGTTACCTATCTCACACACATTAAACCGACAAGCAACAAACAGCCTAATTGCATCAAAAACAAATATTCCAGCCCCCGCTTCCTTGCCAGTTGGTCTACCAGTGTGATGTAACTTCATATTTCCTTGACAAGCCAGTCACCAATATCCAGCACATCCCTCCTGCCAATAGGTGGTTGACCAAATGTTCAAGTCACAGGAGGAATGTCTGCAAAATCAATCCTGGGGCATTTATGTATTCACCTAATGAAAGAAACTGTTGGTACTCCCTGCAAGAATTGTTGAAGAGTTGAATTACCTACCTCGTGGCCTGCAGACACCCATCACAAAAAAGCACCAAGGTGACATTTAATCCCCAGCACAAAAACAGGTGATGATATGCAACACAGACGTGTTCTCCATGCAGCATGTGCCATCATGTTAGGTGTTAGTTTATGCACTGTTTTCCTGCATGTGGAACACACAAACTTGGATTTAGCAGAGTAATGATGACAACTATTTTCATCCAGTGTTCACATTTGCTTTCTTGCCGTTTTGACCCCATCATTGGGCAATTTCGGTCCTGCCATTAAAAAAGTTCACATTCTGAGCTGACTGCAATGATCTATATTTGTTCATCCGTCATATCATGCAGCAATTTTTAAGCTACCTTTCTCACACAAATTAAACTGACAAGCAACCAGCATCCTAATTTAAGGAACATCTGCAAAAACACTCCTGGGGCCTTTAGGTATTAACTTAATGAAATAAACTTGAAGGCATTCTCTGCAAGAATTTTGAGCAATCCAAAAATTAAAGTGAGAGCAAGTCAAAGCTATATAAAATGACCATATTACCTCCATTTGGCTTTTGGAAGCATGGAGCCTGCCCCAGATGTAAATTAATCTAACCTTTAGGCGGAAAGATAACACCAAGCACTGCCGACGCCTGCTGTCTGCATAGATCACGCGCCTAGCAAGGCTAAATTACGTGAGGATTTCTGTGCTGCTAGCCACTCAAGGCCCTCAATAATAAGGGTAGTTTTAGCAGCATGGTGTCAACTTCACCTTCTTTCTCTTTTCCTTTACCATCTTGGACTTGGACCGTCTCGAGCAATAGCTAAAAACCCGTGGAAAAGCGGCAACACCAAACAAAGCTGAAATGGCCATGAACAGAACTGCGTGCGCCAGGCATTTTTCTTTCTTTTTTTGTGTTTAGACAGCTGACGGCCGATAATTCGGACGAAATCCCTTCCTGAACGGATGATCCTCTCACGGGAAGGGATTTCCTCCGGCGCACGATTCGAATCAGCGGAACGGCGCGCGAGTGTATACATGGGCCGGATAGTTCGGATCGAGGACGGGTCCCGGCTCAATTCGAATCACAGCTGCCCATGTAAACAGGGTTGCTTTTTTGCAGCATTTGCTTACAGCAAATGCTGACTATGATTTCCGTTAAAAAACCACGGTGTGTACAGACCGGCAGGTATCTGGCCTGCGCAAAATGAGCTGCAATAAGTATGTATAATAACTTATTGCAGGTTATATTGTAGAATAATAAGTTATATCATATGTATATATATGCATATATATAAATATATATATATATATATATATATATATATATATATATATTCCCTTCCGTGCGCGCTGCCAGCGCTGGCCTTCGAGCGCACGTGCGGGGATGGCGCGGTGGCCGTGCCGGTGGTGAGCGCCTGATGGCCGGCTCCTCGGCGCGGTGGCCGTGCCGGTGGTGAGCGCCTGATGGCCAGCTCCTCGGCGCGGTGGCCGTGCCGGTGGTGAGCGGCTGATGGCTAGCTCCTCGGCGCGGCGGCCGTGCCGGTGGTGAGCGGCTGATGGCCAGCTCCTCGGCGCGGCGGCCGTGCCGGTGGTGAGCGGCTGATGGCCAGCTCCTCGGCGCGGTGGCCGTGCCGGTGGTGAGCGGCTGATGGCCAGCTCCTCGGCGCGGCGGCCGTGCCGGTGGTGAGCGCCTGATGGCCAGCTCCTCGGCGCGGTGGCCGTGCCGGTGGTGAGCGGTTGATGGCCAGCTCCTCGGCGCGGCGGCCGTGCCGGTGGTGAGCGGCTGATGGCCAGCTCCTCGGCGCGGTGGCCGTGCCGGTGGTGAGCGCCTGATGGCCAGCTCCTCGGCGCGGTGGCCGTGCCGGTGGTGAGCGCCTGATCGCCAGCTCCTCGGCGCGGCGCCCGATATGGAGGTCCGGCCGGTGGCGTCGGCCGCCGGCGCCGCCAAGGCTGTCGCGCCGCGAAACGGCCGGCCGCGGCCGCCGGAACGGCCGGGCGCTCTGGGTCAAGGAGAGGATCGCCGCCGCGCGAGGCCGCCGGAGAGGCTGGCCGGATTGGCTGGATCCGTCTGGGGCGGCTTACAGACCGGAGGGCAGGCTCGTGTGTACGCTTGTTGTAGGGGAGGGGGGCGGGTGTGAAGCATGGGGGGGGGGGCGGTGCGCGGGAGTGGATGCGTATGTCGGTGTATGTCTGCACCGGTGTTGGTGTATTGACGTTGGCGTTTGTTGGCGCTGTTTGTAAGCGAGTGATGTGTCAAGTGTGCCGCGGCGGTACGCAGTGCTGCTCACAGTCTGACCGCCCCCTCCATGAGCAGCAGTATTGCTCTCTTTTGGGCTTCTTTGCACAACTAATACGTAGCTATCACGCCCTTGTGCCATTTACATGACTGCGGGTGGTTTGTTCTTACCTCTGTTCTGTACGTGCGAGCATGGTGCATGTCCACTGTTTGCCCACATTTCTGGTCCGCTGATCTCGGGCTAGCGAACCCTTTTTCTGCGGCTTAGGATGAGCACAACCGCAATTTCGAAAAGTGATTTATGCCCTCGAGTTTTATTCGGACCGTGCAAATATAGAAGCCTGGCTGACTGGATGGCGTGTTGTTTGGTGTGGGCGGTCCTGCCGAGGACAGCCAGTTTCCACCCGCCGAGCGCCGTCTGCGGCCGGTGCCGGCACGCGACCTCAGGCGGCGCCTCCCCTCACCGGCCTGCCGTGTTTCAGTTGCCGGCCGTGGACCCGTTCATGGATACTCTTCACTCAACTGATCTCAGTGAGTACACGGCTGGCGCGGGCCTGCCGCCACGTGGCGGCGGTCATCAGCGCGGCGTCTGTCAAGTTCGTTCTCGCACGGGTGCTCTCGTTGGCGTTTGTTGACATGTCGTCCATTTGGGTGGAGCGGACTGCCCGGGACCGGCTCGCATCCGTTCTGGGAGTGGACGTCAGCGCCCGCGGAGGCTTTCGCCATTGGCCGTTTACCCTGACGCCTGCCGTGAGACGGGCTGTGGAATGATAGGCTGCGAGCCGCTGATCGCCGCACACGGCGACTGACGGCGGCTTCTACCGAGATCTGCTGCAAACGAATCGCACTCGACCGCCGGGCAGGTGTCCCCGGTCAGCGCAGAGCTATCCCCCGGCCGCGTGCCCTCTCCTCCAGCCGCCGGACGATGAAGGCTTCACCCTTGCCGGCCTGCCTTCCTGCTGGGCCCGTGAGCCCTCCCTCCACGGGGATGGGCGCGGCTCCCGGCCGGACCTCGGCGGCGGCGCCGATCCCCCTCAGGCGTCGGCCGAATGGGCGCCTTCGCGAGTTTTCCGGTTTCCTGATTGTGAAAGGAAGGATCGTTGGGCGGCAGCTATCTGTCACCGGCCGTGTCCCGTGGCAAGACAATGGGCAGCGAGCGTAAAAAGTGGCCCGCCTTCGAGCCCAGCGCCGTCTGGTTGGGAGCCGCCAAACCGCTGCGGCCACTTATCTGTGATGAAATCGATACGAACGCTAATCTGGTGTCATGGTTTGATGAAATGGCCGTCCGTGTTTCCCCCGGTCAGCGCGTGGATGGCTGCGGTTTGTGGGGTTGGCGAGACTGTGTAACGACGGGCCAGCGCATTGGCGACGTATGACATAAGCATCCACGGATTTGCAGAACAAGTGGCATGCATCCATGCAGTGATCTCTGTCAGTCGACTGCCTGCCACTGGACAGACACATGTTGCTCATGCACAGAGTCCGGGTATGGCGGAGTCCAGGTTTCCAGTTGCCACACAGCACGCGCCACCGCTCTTTCAGAAAGCTTTCAGAGCGCCGACAAAGTCACTGCACGGCGTCGTTTCATTTCCAGCTGCCAACCGGACCTGCCCACCGGTCCTTGCGACCCCAGGGAGTCATTGACGTCATGCCGACCCGGTCGGCGGTTGCCGTGACGTCACTGACTCGGGGCGCTCGATGACCGCGGTCGTGACACATAGGCCAGCTCCAGCTGGCGGCGGCGCGCGGGTCAGCGTCGTTAGCGGAGAACCCGCCGGCGGCCGTGACCCTGCCGGCCTTTCTCGCTGTTGCTACGCGGGCCTGCGGCATGGCGAGTGGGCTGGGCTGCGGGTGTTCCCTGCCGACGGCGCGGCGCGAGCGAAACAGCCGACCGCTGCATGGGTCAAACTTATATCCATCTTGCATCATGAACTGGCACCTGTGAGCGAAACGTCTCGCTCCGCATTGATGGCGAACGTAACCCAGGATCGCGCGTGTGGCGCGCATCGCGACCGTGGTGTCGTTCGCGGTCGACCTCCTGCACTGCCCTGGTGGAGCACGCTCTCCGCCCGTGAGCGCCGCCGGCGGACGGGTGGCGGTGTCTCGCGGTGCCGCGGCCGGGTCGCGGGACAGCGGGACGTCCCGCGGCTGACAGCCGCGTTCGGGGACGACAGGGCACATGTGTCGGGACGTCGGTGGGACCGGACAGATGGGCGGGGTGGCTGCCGCCTCAGCGCGGCTCGGTACGGCGCCGCTGCCGTCCTCCGGCGCCGCGACGGGCGTGGTCCGGCCCGGCCACCGCTGGGAGTGGGTACGTGTTCTCAGGGAGGGAACAGGGAGGGAACATCCGTGAGAAGGGCACAAATGCCGCCCCAAACAACCCGACAGCTTGTGAATGAAAACGGAAACGGAAAAAAACGGAAAAAAGGCGGCAAGCGGGCTGGTGCCTCTGCGCCTCACACCCTCCGATGCGAGCGTGGTCCTGGCTGTCTCTTGCCGCTGCCCGCCGGACGTCGATCGTTCATTTGGTTGCGCGCCTCGCCGCCCCCGCCGCCCGGGTGGTCGTGCTTTCCGCCGCTGTGACGTCGGCCGGAAGCGGAGAGACCGGTCAGTGCGCAGGGCGCGGCAGGGACGGACCGATGCCCGGCGGGAGGCGGGCGGGCGGCCGACGGAGGCCACCGGGACGAGTGGGCGGGGCGTGCTGCGACGAGTGGAAGACGGAGCCGCCGGGCCGGTGTGACGCGACGGCCGTGACAATTCGACGGCAGCGCGTGACTGTGGAGTGAGCACGCCTCTGCGACAGAACACGTGTCGGCGACAGGGTGATGTGGGTGTGGTGCGCGCGATGCTGTCGCCTCGCACGCCTCCGCGTCGGCGCAAGTGTCCCAATCGACGCGCCGTCCCCGGTGGAGGCCACACGCGACCCGCTGTGGTCGCCGCGCCTCACCACCTGTGTCGGCGTCGCGTCGTGGCCCACTGCGATCGTCACGCGTCGGCGCCGTCGTCAGCCCTGACACTCGGGGACGGCTGGACGGCCCTCCGATCGCCAGGGAGCCGGGGTAGACGGCTGGACGGTCTGCCGGCCGCCGGTGAGCCGAGGTAGACGGATGGACGGCCCGCCGGCCGCTAGGGAGCCGGGGTAGACGGCTGGATGGTCCGCCGGCTGCCGGGGTAGACGGCTGGACGGCCCTCCGACCGCCAGGGAGCCGGGGTAGACGGCTGGGTGGCCCGCCGGCCGCCGGGGTGCCGGGGTGGACGGTTGGACGGTCCACCGACCGCCAGGGAGCCGGGGTAGACGGCTGGATGGTCCGTCAGCCGCCGGTGAGCCGGGGTAGACGGCTGGACGGTCTGCCGACCGCCGGGATGCCGGGGTAGACGGCTGGACGGCCCGCCGGCCGCCGGGGTGCCGGGGTAGACGACTAGACGGTCCGCCGCCCACCGGTTGCCAGGAGCTGCAGTCGTTTGTCGCCGGCGAGGGCGAACCGGTTCGGGCGCGCTCTGCCCGTGCTGGGAGGAGCGGGTCTGGCGAGGGGTGCGGACACGGGTCCGTCGTGTTGTGGCGTGAGCGGTGAGTGCACAGCCGTGTTTGGTGTCGGACGAGACATCGACAAGGCCACGTGGGGTTGTGTTGGGATGGAGGTTACGCGTGTGTCCGTCTTCAACTTGTCGCCGTGAGATCGGGCGCTGAAGCGGTGACCGGGGTTCCTCTTTTCATCTTTTGGGAGGCGTTGTAGCGCTCCAAAACAGTTGCGGATCGAATGTGCCTGTCGGTTTTCTCCGTGCATCATCATGGGACTAACGCTAACCTGTCGTAGAAGTCTGGTGCTAAAGCACAGTCGCCTTCTGCTCTCCTGTCCGTACGTGTTCTCTCCCGCTCTCCACCCCATATGTCACCGGCACTTCGTCTTCATTATGTCGTGTTATCACAGTGCAAACACTTTGTGTGGACATTTTAGCCCTGGTGGAAAGGTTAGGACGGCGGGCTGCGGCCTGAAAGAGAATGAGCTCTCCAACGGCACGTGGACAGCCCCCGTCACTTGAGATAGTGCATGGTGTCTGGGCCGTGCCTGATAACGAATGCAGGCTGCTGGCAGATGGGTGTGGCGTGAAATTGCGCAGCGATTGTCAGAGGCACTAATTAGATCGGGCGCCCGTTTTGTTAAATGCTTAGAACTGGGAAAGTTAGGGGAAAAGTGACGGGAAAAGTGAAAAAACAGTTTTGGGCCGGGAAAGTTAGAGGAAAGTGAACGGGAAAAAAGTGAAGAAGCAGACTCGGCTGAGATAAAATATATTTTTTTAAAAAATTCGATGATAGTTGATAATGATGATCTTCAATGACGCATATATGCATGTGTATGATGATGTATACGTAGGATGATGTAGATGTATTATGATCGAGAATGGTTGAAAAGTCGTTAGTACATGCCGCGTTTTATATCAAATAAGATTCATACCGGTTCCGTATGAGAATACCAGTCTCGACATGAATGGCGAAAAGCGCGAACTTGATCTCTGCCAAGCCTTTGTTAAAAAAGTGAGGGTGTAAAAACTGCTGCAACATCGTGGACGAAGCTGCGAATACGTGTCAATAGTCGAGTCCGTCAACAATGTGCGTAACGTTGCTTTGAGCTCTCCAGCTGTCGTGGTCCTCATCGTGTAGCTTACCTTTCTCTATGTGTGCCGTGCTGGCACAATAGTGGGCCCAGATGTACCAAATAACCTTAGTTTTGATAGCACATACACCACCCCATGAGTGATAAGTTAGAACCCATCAAGATCCTCATTGGCAACCGAGCTGCAGAGCGTGCAGTTTGAAGACTCAACAAGATAAGTGCTCCAGGCATGCACGTTGCACAGCAAGCCTTTTACCCTTGCATTTTAATCACGGAGAATTTGTAGACATGCACGGGAGGAACTTAGATCTCCGAAATCACAGTGGCGCAGTCTGTGGCGGCCGCGGGGAAGGCGCCCGCAGCAGCCCGTGGTCCGGCCCGTTCGTGTACACAACCGTGCCCTTGCTCTCCAGCCGAATGTGTCGCAACCCGATGTAGAGCCGCTGCGTTGCAGCCACTTGCCCGCTGGTGGCCGGCATGCGTTTACGTCGCCGGCCATGTGGACGTGTTTGAAACACCTCAGCTTTAAATTGGAACGGATTGTCCCGCAGTCTTAGGCGAGGACCAGTGGCGGGGGCGCCGCCGGCAGCTTCATCAGAGCCGTATCGGGCAGTAGCCCGAGGCGGCGCCGGGACCACGTGACCGTGCTGGCCGGCTACCGGGTCAGGTCAGGCCAGGCCAGGTTGGGTCGGGCTGCGCACAGTCTGTGCGTGGAGGCTGGCGGCGTGGGTGGTGGCTGTTCGCTCTCTGTTGCTCGCCGGGTGGGGTCGTGTGCATTTTCGCGCCCGTCTGCGTCGGCGGTGTGCTGTCTGGGTGTGTCTCGGACGGCGGTGGTGAGGCCTTTGTGGGACGCGACGCGCTTGCGTCCGGTCGACACGTCAAGCAGCGGCGCCCAGGCGTCTGACGACTGGAAGAGAT